TTTCCGCTGCCAGTCCTAACGGTTGGATTCGCGTTTGCATGACCGCTATCCCGAGCTCCGCTGTTCCTCTTGCTGTTGGATGCGGTGTTTGCGCCCTTACGCACCTTCGAGGCCGGGGAGGTGCTGTTGCCTCTGACCCTGTACCTCGCGAGCTTTTCGGCTACCTCAGGAGTTCTTCCCTCCTGGAGGTGCCTAGGGTACCATTTTAAGCCGGCACCGCTCATTCCTCTCCTTCGAGGATCATCGTTCCCACCCGGACTTCCCAATGGTGGTAGAGGGGGCAGACGACCCCTGCGTCTCCTCTTTCGTTTGCGCGTGCATCCTACTTCGCAAGATCGTTGCGACTCCTCCGGGTTGATCATGCTTTGAGGAGTTGCGGAGTGGTCCGCTGCGCTGTKAGTGGGTGCAGTAAATGCCGCCTGTTGAGTGCCGCTGCATGAGGGTATGTCATCATCGTCATCTCTCGCATGCTCCTCAAACAGCGCACGCTCATCAGGCGATAGGGCGTCCAGGAAGCTAAACTTGCGTTTAGAACCTGAGCCGCCCTGCAGCAGTACCGCTGTTGTTGTCATTGTCCATTGTCGTCTGCGTTGGTCGTTGCCTTGTTGTAGTGGTCGATGTGTTTTTGGTGGTTGTTGTTGTAGTTTCGTTCATCTTGTTCGTACGACCTTAGRTCCGGCGAGGTGAGCTTTCAGGTGTATGTTTTATTAGGGGGAACTCAACGGTCCGCCGCGCCAGAGCCCCATGACGCGGTATCTAATGGGCACGGGAGTCGCATAACATCCTGGATTAGGAGGTGGTAGCTCTTGGTTACCGCACGCATGCGGCACCCGGCACCCTGCATGGGCAGTGTCAACTGACACCACCCACACTGGTTGGGGGGTGCCGAATATGCCTTGCAACTTAAGCCCCTGCACCACGGCAAGGTGCCTACCATTCGCAGGGCAACTTCAATACGACTAGGTAAAGTATATTTATCAAAAGTTAATAATAAAGCACCAGTAGGTACACGATTACCATTATTTATCTTCGTAAATTTATRAACATCGGATACTCCTTGATCTTTTAGACCATCAATTATTTCGTCATCAGCAAGTTGACAGATAAATGGAGCGTAAATTGTACCCTTTACTGAGTTCAGAGAGTTGTGAAGAGATATATCAACAGCACCAGCTCCGAGAAGATGTCTGGTTTGTAAAAATTTGTCAGCGATTTGGCCAAAAGAAATAGGCTGCCGTCACGAAGCGATGTGATTTTGTTAATGGCTTTGCTTATGGCCTGAATACCTTTATGTACTGCAAAGCAAGAAGTGGGTGCAATAGGTTTTCTGGMGGCCTGTGATTTGATTACGAGGTACTTGGGATCATCCTTCTTAGAAATAGGTAGTTCCGGGAAGAATTCCAGCGTTGAATTTCTTATTTTTATTCCATTGCAAAATATGATAACACTAATTTTTTGTTTTTGTTTGCAGCAATTCTCTTATTGTACGAATAAATTGATTTTAATTAAAGTTTGATATGGGATTAAAATTATTTTTGAACTATTTAGTATAAAAAAATAATATAAAAGTTAAATATACTTTTATGTAAGTGTAAAATGCATTATAAATCGGAGAAATACGCGTTTTGAATACTTGAATTGTTGAACTTGAAATGCAAATATCTCAAAAACCTAAGTCAGCGGTAGCTATATACATATATATATATTTATTTTTTATCTGCGACCTGCTCCAACCGTACATTCCCATTTTAACCCCGAAATCGGGGGATGCTTTTCTAAATCGCAGCCGAATGCCGTGCTAGAATTTCGGGAATATACAGCATACATTAGAAACGACACCTATTCTGTAGTAAATGATGTTATTTTCCATTAAATAACGTATATTTTTGTATTTTTACTTATTTTATAGAAATCTATGTTAAACTTAAAAGCTAATAGTAAACATATTGTTTGAAACTCGTTATTGTTTTAAAAAAATTAAAAACATATGGATTCGAAGATTGAAGTGCGATAACTAATTAGAAATTAAAATATTTTATCAACAAAAAATAATGATATTACAAAAACTTGCTTACTTTCAGTTAGTATTTTGTTGATTATCTCTTTTACTTTAATATTGCATCACATCGATTCCGAATTTACGTGTATTATCACCCAGAGATATTCTATCGGGTTTAAGTCTGTGCTAGGCGATTCCCACTCAAAAACATTGATAGTATTGTCTTCAAAAAACGTTTGTGCCAACTTAGACGTATGCTTTGTTCTCTTACTTATAACAGGCAAATTTTCTTCCGCTCATGGCATCATAACATCAAATAAAACATCCCACACAATGAAAGATCGTCCACCATACTTCACTTAGCGGAGAAAATATGTTTGATTGATTGGACGGCGATCATACCTTCGACCACCATTTAGTGTTTCTAATTAGCTGTCGCACTTAATTCACCTATATCGTAACGCATTTACTGTTTGAGAAAAAATTAACAGAATTTCCACAGCACAACTACAAAA